AAAATTCCAACATGGCAAAGGCATTTTACTCAAGTTTTTCAACTTATTTTTATGCTGCCACCAAGCAAACTGGACAAATGCATGAATGGACAATAAACATTATAGTTACTCATTTCCACCTGAGTTAAGTGAAGAAAGTCACGTGCCTTTCCCAAGAGCAAAAGATCGTTGGCATGGCAGGATTCTTCATTCTGTCATTACGCCATACAACCCAACACAGGCCTTATTTCCCCCTGCTGATGCATACTCGTTGGCGGCTGGCAAGAAAAATGCATGCCACATTGAACTTGAACGTGTAATATTATAGTTTCAGAGCCTGACCCTGTTGATCTGAGCTGGCCGGAGCTTTTCACTGAACTGGATGTGAAGACGTACTACCCACTGGAAGCATTTAAGGTAAGGCCACACCAATTTGATTTGTTGGTTCTCTGATTCGTCCGCTTCATTTTTTCTGATTTGCAAAAAGATTCAGGTTCTGAATCAACTCCAAAAAGGTCATATTTTGGCCCCAACAGTGGAAGAAAGATCCATGTCTTCATAGTTATTACATGAAAATTTCCTTTCATTTATTTTTGCCCAGGAACTTTCAATAACCAAAACTGCCATATAATAATTAAAACAGTATTATGTATTGAACAGTCATGCCTGCCAATTTTTTTATTTATTTATTTTCCGTCATCTTTATACAGGGTGGCCCATTAAGTGATTACACTTCTTTTCAATGGGGCCCTGTTGAATAGATATCTATTAATAGATAATGACAGCATGACAACTTAAAGTTTACAATGGTATTAGAAGTACAAATGTAGTATTATGTATCAGTTGAACTCTTAAGTCCACTTGTTGGAAGACAATTTCAGAATCTGTAATTATAATTTCATTTCTTTCAGGCTAAAATTCAGGACGCGGATGCCCAGTTGGGGCGTCTAGACTTTACGGGAATCGACCAGCTGTCTGACAGCGCCTTCCGAGTGTTGTACAGCGCCCTCTGCCAGTTCAGTGGGAAACTGCAGGCCGTGGACTGTGGAGGCTGCACTCACCTGACAGATGCAGGTGTCTACTGGCTGGCCAGGTGTGGCCAGGTGGGAGGTGGACTCCAGGAGGTGAGAAATAGCTGATGTGACTCACCAAAAAATGTCATGCAAAATCATTAAAGAAGTGCATGCAATCTTTGGCACAACAAGACAATCTACAATGGAGGCTAAAGTAGTATTCTATTTACCAGTTCCATACACATGACCTGTAGAAAATTAACTTCATAAGTTAGAGCTTTCCCTCCATATAGGCTGTCTTTCATCAACATTTCATGTGTTCTTAAAAATGTGCATCATCATTCTTACATCCATATTACATGATTTAACATCATCATTGTGTTTTTACATGAGTATGTGTTTTTATATCATCATTACATGTCCTTACATCATTATGACATTAATATTCTTACCTGTATAGGTCATCCTGAAGGGCTGCCGACAGGTAACAGAAGCCTCCATCCTACACCTTCTGGAGCACAACCCTGGTCTGTCCCTTCTGGACATGAGCTTCACCTCTGTCTCCTCCCTATCTGTGTTCATGGAGAAAAAGTGTCAACCAGGAGGAAGGCTACAGGTGGACTTTACAGGCTGTCCGCTCGTCACTCCTCCCGCAAGCCAGGCCAAGAGTTTGGAGTCGTTTGAAGACATCTTAAGCTTCTTCGAAGGTGATTTGTTACACCATGGATTTTACAATTAGGCCATGACAATTTAATTTATTGGTTCTCGGATTCACCTGCTCATTTTTTTTCTGATTTGCAAAAAAAAAAAAATTCTGAATCAACTCAAAATGCTCATAGTTTGGCCCAAAGAGTTGACAAAAGTTCATTGTCTTCCTAGTTAATACAGTTTTTCCATCTATCAATGCAATTTGGTTTGATAAAATGTTTAAAGTTCATTATTTAAATTTCAAATGAGTCTGGTATGTTGAAGTCATGGCTCTTATTGTAGTTTTTGGTCTATGATCATATATATCATAGTAAATTCCTCTTACTCCGTACTTTTCTATGTTTAACCAGGTTCATCAAATAAGAAAGGAGCTCAGAAGGCATCCCACTCCAGGACCTCTGACCCCAGAGTTGTCCTGGTAGGAGACCACACTCCAGCCACGGCACAACTGTTGGTGTCTCTCCTGCCAAAAGTCTCCAAACTGTCCAACCCGCCGCTGCCAGGGCAGATCGAGATGTACCAGGACTGTGTACTGCAGCAGGGGGGAAACAAGCGGTCATTTGACATCGTTTATTGCACTCCTGAAGAGGTAATGACTCAATCATTTAGCAATATGTATACCCTTTTCAAGTGACATATCAAAGATCATCTATTAATAAATGAAACAGTTACCCATCATCAAGGACCAGAATGAGTCAGATATTAGTAAGAGGTCTTCTGCCTTAGGGTACCTGGGGGTAATTTTGGAAGTTGATGTTAACCCTAGGACCAAAGTGATCCAAAAAAATACAGTTCATATAACACTGAAATGTATCAGTATACTAGTACTAGTATTTGATTTTTCATTGAACCCACGTTAGGTCCAGTTCTCACGATGGTCAGATTTGGGCCCAAAAGTCCCACTCTGCTACTATGGAGATCGAATCCCCCGAACCCGCGAATCTTGTTCGATATGACGTCATTCGAATAGAGCGGGCGTTCGATCTGGGGTTACCCGCGGTCATTTACAGTAAAGCCGCTACAACCGGCTACTTCAAGCCCTTTTTTACTCGGGAACCACGGAACAGGAAAAATCCACCTTTCCACAAATATGAACCGTTTTCAAAACATTACATCTATGCCGTGATTTTATTGCGGATATGTAACATGTAACGAAGCTACTGCCGTCATCGTGGGTGACCTTGAAGGTCAGAATTCTTGTTGACGCTGTTATAAAATCCAAGTCCCCATATCCAAGTGGCACAGCATGCGTGCAAACATGGTATTTTAACCATTCCCAAAAATCGCTCAAATTACCTCATTGAGGGCTTGTTTGGAAGAGGAACGATTTCCGCAGATTTCTGTCTTAGGGATTTTTTAAATATGGCCGCGATTATGAATTATCAGTATTTAAAGTTAAAACACTGCGTTTTTAGCTCTTCTTTTGACTGTAAGTCGAGTTTTAGTTAAAAAATAAAAAAATCCTAAGACAGAAAGTTTAAATTTATTGTAATATTTACTAAAAATCCAAAAATTTAACCTTATTTTTAATTTTCGGGGCCTCTTAAAATCAGTTGTTTGGTTCTCGTGAACCCTTTTTGAAATCCGAAATTGATCTCATTTGGAAGCAAATGTACACAAAGTGGAGCAAAGGCAGTGCAAGAATAACATTTGAGGTAAACAAAATCACTTATTACATTTTATTTTGACGAGTATTTACTCTCCAATTACTTTTGTTTATTTTCAAATTTTACCGTTACCCCCGGGCCGGCCCGGGACTCCCGCGCGGCCACGTTCGAACGCGTTCTGTAACCCGATACCTCCCTAGTAATGCGACTTTTAGCCTAGCAACCGACCGCCGTGTCTGATCAAGGAGGCTATATCAAGTCCAGCGTACGCACCACTATGTTTGGCTGACCCAAAAAAGGCTAGGGTAGGGTGGGCATCTCATATGAGGAGGACCTGAAATTAACTGGAGGGTTTTTCCTAGGGTTAGTGGGGTTACAAGAAACACAACATTTTTTTCCTAGGCCTAGTAGACTTGTTTTACTTTATTGTGCCAATTTGTGCTAATTGTGTGCTATTCAGTGGGTGATTACAACTTGTTTCTTTGTGTTTACTTTCAGCTGAACAGTGCCCTGTTTGTGACTGAGGGAACTGTATTTGTGGTGCTCAGCAATGGGAAGAACACATGCACAAGGGGCGCAGACATCATCAAGGGCATTCGTGCAAAGGTGAGCCTTTTTTGTTTGTAATCTAAAGCTGTTGCCTGGACAGATTCACAGTAGAGCGTTAAACTGGGTACACGTAGTTTAAAATTTGTGCATTAACAGAAGAACTTCATTGCATGACAATTGTACATGGTACAATGTATGGCAAAGTCTAACTTGCTGACTATTACAGGTCCCCAAAGCACCCTGCCTCTTGGCCGAGTTGTCTGGAGAAGATCAGACATCAACACTAGACATGACTTCAGCAGTGGAGCTGGTCCAAGGGGCAGTCCACACAATGGAAGAGTAAGTTCCAATTCATCTTTTTATGTGTGCCAGACTTAGATCTAGTTATGAATTGAGACTTACTTGGCTTAACCCTCTTCACCTGCCGAAAGCATAAGGCCTCAGTGAAGTGTCTCCATCAGTCACCAGTGATTTTCTTCACCTCTTGCTGTCGCACCTCATTACTGACATCCCTCTTCCAGGACCCATCTTCTTTCCCCCTTTGAGGGTTCCAGTCAGGGGCAGTTCTTACATTGTAATGGGTACAGACGGCTTCCTTATGATACTAATTAGCATGTTGCTATCCATTTCCATTTCTTATGGTGACTTCCTGTAGTTAGTAACCTTTGGTTAATTTGTATCCCAGTCATCTCTGTGCTTCAGAAGTAAATGTTAGTTCAAATTGCTTGTGTCACATACCAGTATATGCTTGTGTGTTTTAACCATGTCCCAAAAGGAACAAAGTGAGCAGTGTCATGTAATTGATGGGTTTCATGTCCTTGTTCTTAGGAGTATAGCAGGCATGGACTTCAACAGTCAGTGCAACTTGCAAGAGTTGCCAACAGATGGTGGACATGAAACAGGCAGTCAAGGTGATATCAGTTGGCGAATCACGGGTAAGAACTGCATTGATGTTTTACTATAGGTTTGATCTTTTTTATAGTGTTGAAAATAATGTTAATAATAAAAATGCACATTCAAGAAAAATGTAGAATGGCACAGATATTTCACCCAGCTTCTAAGCTTTATATATTCATTACTGGTGTGTTTTTTCATGGTTTGCTATATTCATAAAAGATGTAGGAATATCCTGCCCTTGGTGCTGAAAAGTGTATTGTTAACAATTTGCTTACAAGAGACATTGTGTTGGTGCCACTTAAACCTGGTTACTACTTCAA